CTGGGTGCGCCCTCCGCAGGGAGCTGTCCATGGTGCTGAAGGCACCCGCTGGAAGGCATCTGGGTGCGCCCTCCGCAGGGAGCTGTCCATGGTGCTGAAGGCACCCGCTGGAAGGCATCTGGGTGCGCCCTCCGCAGGGAGCTGTCCATGGTGCTGAAGCCACCTGCTGGAAGGCATCTGGGTGCTTTCCTCTCGTTTGCCTCCTGTCACATTTGGATGACCGCTGAGCGTATTTTGGTGTCTACTCATCGCGAGTACCTGCCACTTTCCCACAATTTTCCAGACATGAACACTTACCCCAAAACCTGACCTACATTTTAGTAACAGTTTCATAAAAATAAAGCCTAAAAAAATAGGACAATTAAGAGACCAACTTAACTTACAAGATCAGGACCATCAGAATTGACTCTCCATTCATGAATAGAGACTGAATGGGTTGAGAGGAAAGGGAAGATCATGAAAGCTGTGGTTAGATGGAGCTGAGGAGATCCTCGAAGAGAGACAAATGGAAGTTTTAAATAACAAAAGGCATAAAGCAATGTATGGATTAGTAGGAGCAATGATGCAATTCATGGAGAGTTGGTGTAAACCAGATTTAGCTGTGTTTCCTTTTCTTTCTCTTATCTCATGGCTTAACATCTTTGTCTTACTATTTCTTACTCTTTTTCTGTGTGCTGCAAAACACTGCTTAGCCTGAAAGGGAATAATGTGCTGGGTATTTATGTACTTATGTTAGGAGGAGGAGGAGAAGGAGGAGGAGAATGACCTGCTGTATAGCAAAGGATCAGCAAGCAACATACTTAATTGCAGGGATACCTTTCAACTCATAAAGGTCCTCCTGGGTTAGTAAGAACATGCTGGAGTGGAGGCTCATTTGTCTTCTGGGACAGGGCTGTGTGGTAATGTCAAGTCTACAATGTCCAAATCCCAATCCAGAAGAATTCTCATGAAACCAGGCCTGGTTCAGATAACATCTCCCAAGGCTGTGCTCAATATGCCAGATGATTCATTACCTCCCACCACATGCTTTCAAAATCCCAAATGTGCCCTCAGCCCCAGTGTTTTGCTCTCCTTGCTATATTACATTAGTGAAGGTGTATGTCATTTAAATTTCCCACAATGCACCTAGTTATTTGGAATGATGGAGGTCAAAAGAGGATGTAAAACACTGAGGACTGCCGTCTTAATGAAAAGACTAAAAATACAACCCTAATTTTCCTCTGTAGCCAACCACTAGTTTTCCAGGCTTAATCACTTTCCCATCCCCATTTCTGAAAGAGCAGAAAAATAGCAGAGTCTACTTTACAAAGTTGCTGTAAGAGTCCTTGAAGGACAGAGCTCCAACTTCTCTTAAGAATGTTTAGATGCCACCCCTCTCTCCTCAAAGGAGAGAGCCCATAATATTCAAGAATTGTAAGCACTCTTCCATAGCATAAAGCACAGAATGCAGACAATGCTACATTCAGTCTCTGCTAAATATGTTTCAGAGCAGCAACTGAAAAGAAAGCAAAGAATCATCCAATGAGGAGGTCTGGATCAAACAGTCTTCAATTACAGTGGGGTTGATTTTAGTTATGCATTAGGAGACACCTCTGAGCTTGAAAACAGTTTGAGACTGTTCCTAACTGCCTCATGATATGTCTGGAGTAGGCTTCCCCTTGATCATACTCAAGTAGAAGATCAACAGTGGATGTGCTCTGGATTTCACACACAACTCCCCCCAACTCTGACTTTAATCTTTAAAAAAAAAAAATCAAATAAGGAAAATTTCTACCAAAGTAGGTAAGGCTACTACTACTAGCTAAAGTAGCCTCAGGATTCTACAATTTGTCATGATCCATAATGTGTTTATCCAAGATTAACTTAAACATGGTGTACTCGAGTTATCCAGTTTTCAAGCTTTGCACAATACAGTGTTGAACTATAAACCATTTCCATGGTAACTAATTCTCTGTTGCCTGATAAATCTGGATTTTACATATTCTTGAGGTTGCCTGTGGTTTTATAGCTTTTACAACTGGGTGGTCTATAGATATTGGAAAATAAATAGATAAATGAACTAACCACGTAGCTATCAGCTGAAAGGTGGGTGGATGGCCTATGATTTAGCGTGTCATGGGAATGCAATTTAAAACACCTGCCATCACCAGTGAACACAAGCAAGGAATACGATTCTGGGCACCCCAATTTCCAGAAGGGTATTGACAGGTTAGAACAGGTTCAGAGGACAGCAACAAAGATGATACAAGGACCCAAGGACATGATATATGAGGATAGGCTGAAGGAACTGGGGAGGTTCAGTCTGGAGAAAAGATTGAGGGCAGATAAGACAGCCATGTTCAGGTACCCAAAGGGAAGATGGTTAGCAATAATTTTCCACAGTCCCAGAAATCAGGACTAGAAATAACAGGATTCAGTTGGAGCTGTCTACATTTTGTTTAAGTATAAAGAAAAACTTCCTGAGGGTAAGATATGAACAAGAATGGACCAGTCTCCTGTGGAGGCTGGAGATAAGAGGTTGGACAGCCAACTCTCAAGGAAGTTTTAATTGGCTTTCTGGCACATTCCAGAGGGTCAGATTAGATGATTTTTGCCATTCCTTTCAATTCTGCAGTTCTATGATTTATTGCAGTGTTGTCCAAACTTGGCCACTTTAAGATGAGTGGACCAACTCCCAGGATTCCCCAGCCAGCATGGGGGATTCTGGGAGTTGAAGTCCACTCATCTTAAAGTGGGCAATTTGGACAACACTGATTTATTGAATTACTGTGAAGGCTGCTATGATTTGTAGTCAACCTACTTGGAGCAGAGGATGATGAGAAAGGCTGTCCTGACCAAAGAGCCTCAACTGTTTCCTGTTCTATGCAATGATTTAACATGAGATCAACACTTCCTCACCCTTATCTTTCCCTTGTTATCACATATCCAAATAATTTTTATTTATTAAGATCCTGAAAAGAGCATGAGATGCTGGATATTAAAAGAAGTTTTGATTCTTTTGGGGCTTACAATCTAAAAATTACTTTTACGTTCAGGGCAGCTTCTGGATAGGCTGATCCATTCATTAATATACTTACAGGGTGATGTTTCTGCAAATGACTTTCCACTTATATTTGCAAATTCTGTTCCTTTAAGTTTAGGGGGAAAGTGAATGGCTCTGAAAGAAACAAGACTGGAAATCAAAATATTGTAAATGAAATAATAAACGGCCAAGAGTCAAAAAAAATATACTCTGTTGCTTCCACTGTCGTAGTGTTCAATTGAAACATCTTGCAAGATCACAATCAAGGAAAATAAACTATAATTTGAGGTTCGAATCCACAAGTCATGGCTTCTAAGCCACAAGCTAAAATCATAGAGTTTGAAAACTGTGACCTCTGTCACAATTCCTTTCCACACTTTGAACAGGCAAGTTAGCTTGCCTCCTGAACTATCTCCATATGTGCTCAAATAGGAGAGCAGACAGAAAACAAAACTGAACAAGTGGTTCTGAGCCATGTTTTCAATCCTAAAATATAATTAATGTCAATGAAGGTTTGGCATAAAGGCTAGTTTACACATCATATTAAGCCATGACTTGCTTAACCATTGTTATGGAAGAAACCACAACTGACTGGGTTTACACAACAACCTAGGCCATGTACCATAGTATACCAGCTACAACAGCTGCGGTCATCTCACAACGAACCCAACCCAAATTACGGCTTAGTGCAATGGGTGAGATCATTAATGTCTCAAGTGATTCACACATAATGGTAAACTATAATGTTGCTTGTTTTAAACGCACTACAGTGTGAGAATCAAGCCACCCTAACTCAGATAACACACTGGTTCACATCAAAGTTCCTTGCTCAGTATTATGCATTAACCCACCCCTGAGGCTATTTTTTTGAGGAGGAAACTCCTAAATAAACCACAAATACCTTGGGAAGAGCCCTTTTCACTTTCAAAAGGATTGGTTATATGAACGTACTTCTACAAGACAATTCTTGGATGGACTCTCCATTGAGTGCAAGGCTCAGGTTGACAACTGCCAACTTCAGATTCTTTTCTATGGGGGGGTTGGGGGGTGGAATTTTAGCCAGGCCATTACGGGTTGATCAACAAACTGAAGTTTGCTTTGTCCCTCCAAACCAAACGTGGAAATCACTTGCAACTGCCTTGTTGAATTGGGAAATCTGAGCTCAAATTTGAGCCTGGGGAAAGAGAAGGATTGATAGACTCAAAACCTTAGAGACCCTAACCGTAACATAACACAGCACTTGATCAGAATAACCTGCCAATCTGACTGCGGGCTCACGCTAACCATCAAATGCGCATCCAAGAGGCATCTGACAGCAAACCTCAATTTCTGGAAAAGGCTACCTGCTTTGCCTATGAGGGCTGGGGCAGGGAGAGGCAGAAAAGGGGTCACCATTACTGGATCTACCAGAGTCAAACAGGTGAGTGAATAACAGCCCACTTGTTTGTATAATTCAATTATCTCTGCTGAGCTGTGAGATGCACTATTTTTTTTTTTACCTAAATCACAGCTTAATTTTTCTGGGGGATTGTAGATACCTAATGCTACAAAATGCGAAAAATCCTACATGAGCCAACTAGAGTTTTTATATAGCTCTTATTTCTTGAATCACAATCCAAGTGTCTCTCTCCTACACTTACACGCACCCCCTCCGCTATCCATTTTCCATCCCTTCCCAAACATATGACAGCCGGGAACCCCAAGTGTCCTGTGCCTGGTGACCTGGCTGCTTCACACCCACTCAGCACACTGGAAAGCCTTCTCTCGGGCATGGAGTTTCTGGTGCGTCATGAGAATATCCCTTCTCCCAAAACTCTTCCCGCACACCAGGCACTGAAATGGTTTCTCTCCGGTGTGAGCTCTCTCGTGGATGACCAGACATGTCCGCTGGCTGAAGCTCTTGCCGCACTCAGAGCACTTGTACGGCTTCTCCCCGGTGTGCGTTCTCCGATGGGTCACCAGGAATTGCTTCCTGCTGAAGCTGCGCCCGCAGTCAGCACAGATGTAGGGCTTCTCTCCTGTGTGGGTCCGTTCATGTTTAATGAGGTCTGATTTAGAAATGAAGCCCTTGCCGCAGTGGGAGCAAATGTAGGGCTTCTCCCCCGTGTGGATCCGTTCGTGCTTGATAATGTAGGATTTGCGGCTGAAGCTCTTCCCACAGTATGAACAGGAATAGGGCCTCTCGCCCGTGTGGGACCGCTGGTGTTCAATCAGTTCGGACCGCCACACAAAGCCTTTCCCGCATTCCAGGCACTTTTTCAACCGCTCGTCTTGGATCCTTGGCTGGACTCCAACTCCTCTGGCCTGCTGGAAACTTGAAGAACTGCAAATCATGTTGTCCCGTCCCTTTTCTATGCAGCTTCCTGGCTGGCTTTCAGAGGCTTCCCCTAGTTCAGGCATACAGGATCTGTGTTGGTCAGCTCTTCTGCAGAGCATCCCCTGTGATGCTGGTTCTGAAGAATTCTCTGGGGCCTCCTCAGGCACTTGCTCATCGCCTGTCAGGGAGGAGACAATTAAGATCTGGGTCATTCTCTAATCTAAATCTAATAGGTCTGCAATTTGATATGTACGAAGGATAGCTAATCCCAAAACTGCAACCTGATATAGAGGGGAGAGGGAATGGCCTTGAGGGACAGAAGGAAGAGCCCCTACCAAGCCAACAGTCAGATAAAAGGGGCCTGAGTCCAGGGCAGGAATGTAACCTGAGTAAACATCTCAGACAAGCCCCTCCTTAGTTCACACAAAGACAAAGGGAAGGAGGGGGAAAGTACATTCAGACTTGCAAGATTCTGTTACTATAGCTTTACAATAAAAGTATTATTAATCTACATAGCACTGATTCCTTGTCTGATCTACCTTGAAGGGTAAGTATTAGCTATTTATTTCTGGTAGGCTTCGGAATCCCTTTCAATCACAATTGTTGAAAACAGACAGCAAACACACAGATACTCTAGGTCCAACATTAAGCCCTGCTCTATGCCAAACAGAGGTGGGGGGTGCATCTAATGTTGCAAGACTGGAAGTCATCATTTTAAAATTTATCAGAATAACCCATCATCTTCTTTTCAACAAGAAAGCTAGCAAAGTAGGAGAATAAAGAAATGGAATCTCTCTTCTTCTTATAGTGAGGCTTTTTTACTTAATTTTAGTAGAAGATAATTGAAGCAGAGGCTGAAAATCATCTGCCTGGAGCCAGTGTGGTCTAGTGGGGAAGGTGCTAGACTAGGAATGGGGAGACCTGGGCTTTAGTCTCTCCTCAGCATGGAAGTTCCCAAGGTGACTTTGGGCCAGTCTCTCCCTCTCAGCCCCAGAGCTAGGGTAGGGTAGTGGGGAAGGGGAAGGATTGGGACCAGTGGAATCCAGGTTCAAATCTATCCTCAGATTTCAATTTAGCATACTTCTATTTTTCTATATTGCTTAATTTGCTGTATTTTGGATGGGGGGAGGTGCCTTCAAGTCAGTGTTAACTCCTGGTTAAGTCTGCCTGGACTAGTCCCTGCAGTTTTCTTGACAGCATTTTTCGAAGGGGTTTGCCTTTTTTCTATGTCTGAAAGAAAGTGACTGGCCCAAGACTACCTGGCTGGCTTTGTGTCTAAGGCAGGACTAGAACTCACCGTTTCCTGGTTTCTATCCTGGTGCCTTAACCACTATCCCAAACTGGCTCTCAAGTCACTGTAATACAAGCATGAAAACACGAGCTAATTATTTAACCCTTAGTCACCTGAATGTGACTAAGTCACTTAGTCAGTTAGATACTTGAACTGACTTTGATTCTGTCTCCTACTGTAGGGTGGGACAACTTTGGATGAACAGAAAAGTAATTCACAGTAAGTGGAAATGGAGCTGATAGGAAAGGAATACAGGGAGTCTTTGTTTAGTGTCCATAACTGGGACTGGCAACTCAGTCATTAAGCAAAGCAGTCGCTAAGTGAAACTGCAACTGTGCTTATGATCTTACTTCAGCTTTCCTTTGCTTCACAGACCTGCAAAGGTCATAAAGTTACTTTTTCCTCACCATCTTAACTGTTAACGGTCACTAAATGAGGCCATCGCTAAATGAGGACTACCTATATACCACAGTCATATGCCCAGAGAAGGTCAGCAGAGGTGACAACTGCTGAGCATCACGACATCCCCTAGAGCACCATGCAACTGAAGGCTGCATCTGCAGAAACCAACTTGCTTATCTTACAATGAATGCTACAGGAATGTAGAAATTCTACCCAGGTTTCATCCTACAAATTTATATTAATGGGACCTCCACTGTTAGCCTTCCCCCCACTGTGTTGGGGTGAGCTGTGATGTCGGAAGTGAACTGTTTCTTGCTGTCAAAGCGTGCCAAAGCAATGGATTCCCTTACCCTCGGTGATGGATCATGTAACTCATTTTTCCAGGTTTCTTCTTTCATTTCTTCTTTCCTCTCTTTGTAATGTCCTGCAGGCGTCAACCCAGCAGACCAGAAAGCCTTGCTGCTGGCCCTCAAAGTGGAACCGAGAGAAAAGCCACCACTTCTAAAAACTGGAGCTAAAGACTGAAAGGAAGGAGCTCCTCCACAGGACAGGAAGCCCTGATTTCCAACTAGGACAGAGGTAACCCTGTCCTATCAGACCCGTCTTTGCTGACCAAGAATGCAAAGAAAATGCAGTAGAAGCATTTCTCATTCAAACACAGCAGCATCAGTGATAGAGCAGAGGTTGGTGACACAACTCCTAAAGGTCCTAAAGTCAATTCCCTGCCTCTCCAGGGAGGGCTGCAAAATTCCTGCTTGAAATTATGGTGAGTTCTCCACCCTGATCTACTAGGCTAAATGGATGATGGTCCAAATCCATACCAGCTTCTTGTATTCCTGTGGGCTTCAATGCTGGAGTTTCTGGCTGGGATTGCAGTGTTCTAAGCCATGATTTGTCTACTGAATAAAACATAATGGTCCAGACTAGCAAACCTGCTAACAACCAAGCCAAACAAGCTGCAATCAAACCAGCCCAGAAATTCATGGCTACAGAAGGAAGAGCGCTCCTTACCCAGGGATGCTCCATCCTCCTCTTCCTCCTCCTCTTCCTCCTCCTGTTTGATTTCGCCTAAAATGACCTTCTGCCAGGAATCAGACAATGCTTCATCAGCCTCAGGAAAACAGACCGTCTCCTCTTTGAAGGGTCTCAGCCTCTGCAGCGGAAGTCCAGGTATCACAAAGCAAGCGGTGAAGAGGTCAGAATTAAGCAATAGATTTAAGGAGAAGGCCACTCTTAACAGACGGGGTTTATTCTGCTTCTTAGATCTAAAAGAAATGGCCAAAGACTCCTAAAAGGATGAAATCTCTAAGCAATTGAAAACAGTAACAAACAAAATGGGCCTCTGGGTGCAATTCAAGGTGTGGGTTATCATCTTTAAAGCCCTGCCTGCTTCCCATATTCTGCTTAATCTGATTGGTCAGAATCAACGTGCTCTGGGACTCATCGATAAAACAGGGTCATCTGATGGGGCCCAGGAAGCAAACCTTCTCTGTCACTGCTCCCGCCCTCTGGAACAGTGTCCCCCTGAGATTTGCATGGCCCCTATCCTGAGTTTATTTGAAAAATACATTAAAACTATTTTTGTTCTCCAGAGGCTTGGGCTAACCAATGGTGAGGTCCTCAACAGAACTCTGATCACTGCGTGGAGTATACTAAATCTTCTGTGTCACTTATCTTTTGATAATTGTTGTTTTTTATCTGTTTTTAGCACTGTAACATGCACAGTGTTGTTCTGAATTGGGCAGTCTTCCATATAACTAATTGTATAGAATTAAAACACATTTCAAAAATCCCCATTTCCCCCACCCATCCTCTCCATCTACTTGCTGGCAAATTCATGGTCAAAGCTGTTCTCTTCAGATGTTGGATCATGCTGACAATGCAGGCTGATGTGGATGGATTTGACCCTCTCGCTGTGCTTAAAGAAGACCTAGCAGCTACCCTGAACAGGCTGATCACAGAAGGCAGAGTTATTTCAGCATTTAGCACCAAGAGTGGCCAGATTTGTTCAGCCCTTCCTAACAAAAAAAGGGGCTAGCTTAGATTTATACATGACAGGAGGAAAAAAATTAGGAAAACATTAACTCTGCACAAGAATAGTAAGGAAGCTTAGCAATCAGGCTGATCAAAGAGACATTAGCACTCAGGGTCCTGATAGTTAAAATTCCTCCCAAATCACTGCAATCCTTCCAGCCAAAAAAGATTGCCCATACACTTTATTGCTATCTACACCACCAGCTTAGCCATCTACATCAGTGTTTCTCAAACTTGGGCACTTTAAGACATGTGGACTTCAACTCCCAGAACTCCCCAGCCAGCAAGTGGCCACATTTGAGAAACACTGATCTAAACCACGTCCCAACAACGTGACCAGGGTCAAATATTCTCACCAGCTCTTCCTGATTCTCCTCCTCTTGCTGCCTCAGCAGGAAATCTTCCGCCAAGGCCACCGCCTGGGAGCAGTTCTCCGGCTCCACATCTCGGACCCAGTTCTGGATCCGTGGGGGCAGGACCGTCAGGAATTGCTCCAGGACCACCAGCTCGAGAATCTGCTCTTTGGTGTGCCTCTCTGGTTTCAGCCACAGGTTGCAAAGTTCCCAGAGATGGTTGCACACCTCTCGTGGCCCCTCAGCCTCCTGGTAGCCAAATTGTCTGAAGTGCAGGCGCTGCATTTCTAAGCCAGCCATCTCCTCCTCTTCCTGGATTTCCTCCTTCACCTTCTGTCTGCTGCTTCTGTTGCTGGCCCAGAGACTGCTGCCAGTCAAAGGGGTCTCTTTGCAAAGGTCTGGCAGGAGATGGGCCATTCTCTTGTACCTCCGAGATGCTGAGTGGGCTGAAGCTGCAGTGCTCTTAAAGAAGAGGAAATGAAAATGTTAGTATCCTCTCTAGTCACATGTTGTAAACAAGGATGAGTTGCCGTTCTGAGTAGAGCTGATTAAACTTTATGATTTGTTAAGTTTCTCCGGGCCAAGAGATTTGTAATTTGATTTCTCAGTACTTCTCACCTCTCTTTCTACCAATTTGGTTTTGATTTCTCAGCCTAGAGCTCAGAGTGGCTGGCAAAGTCATCAAGCCAGCTTCCATGCTAAAGGGAGAACTAGAACCTGAGCCTCCCCACTCCTGGTCTAGCACCTTAACCACTACACCATACTGAGCCATATGTATACAGACACACACAGACACACATATATACACATACAAACATACATACACACAAAAAATAAACATAAAGGACTCACTACATACAAACACATCAGTGACAATGTAGGGTGCATGATTTTAAATTCAGTAAATGGCTTGTGTAGCAAAAAATAAAATGCTTACATTTTTATGTTTTAACCATTATTGTATTTAGCTTGTTGCCTATTTTATTTATAGAATTTTTATGATGTTAAAAACACCCAAGTTAACAGGATAGCCAATGCACATTTTACTAATAAATAACAGTACCTTTTAAAAAATAGCTGAAATGCTACTTTATAATATTTTAGAGAGGATAAAGGTGACATCTTACTGCTCCTGCAAACTATTAAATGTTCTTCTTTAATTTTTACAATTAAACCATTGGTCTTTATGACTGTTAAGTTTTTTTGTTGTTGCTAAGGATAATTTTTCAAACAGCACATCCCTTTACTTTTGAAGATTAACAGTGGTTCATGGACATTTCAGATTAATAACATTCTCCAAAAAACAATATTTTTACTGTTATATTTGTTGAGTCCAGTTCATGATTGGAGCTATCAAGAGCTTAGCAACTATTTCAAACTACAGATAAATAATTTCTGTCAAGCATCCTGCTCAATTTAACCATATACCAAAGTATTTTCATAGTATACAAACTTATCGGTTCAGATCTCAGTGAAATTATTTTTCTTTAGGTGAGTTTTAGAAAGATCTGCCAAGCCCCCAAAGTCTGAAAGGATTTGCAAGCAGAGACATAATTTCTGATACAACGCAATTTTTGTTAGAATGCTTTACTTTTCAAAGCTTTAAATACATGGCATATATTCCTGTTTATTTATGAGATGTATATTCTATCTTCAAGGGGCAAGATTGGCACATTAATGCAAGGAACTGATAGAAAGGAAGTGTTTCTTTTAGAATTACATTCACCCACTTAGTTTTCAAACTGGCATGACGGTTATGGCTTTGTTAATATCACGTAGATTGTGGCAGAGAATTTTTTGTTATTAATATACAACCTGGAGCATCTACATCTGATATTTTTAATGTTGGGGAGTACTCATACATAAGGGACAAAATTACAATCCAAAATTGCACGGCCTTCTTTTGCATAAAGGTTAAAATGTCTCGGCTACTCTTCCACCACTTGCCCTTTTTACAGCCCTTTCTCTGCTTCTGTTGGAGTTTGCAGTTCTCCACAGGTTCAGTTTGCTCAACTATAAAGCCAAGCAAATCACATTCTGGTTGACCTCTTTGTGTGAACCCAACCACGGTTGTTAGTAAAACCATGGTTTATGGCTTAGCATGTTGGGTGAACACTTTCGTGGCTATTCAGCGAATATGGTTCAGCCAACCCTGGCTTAGGGCGACCTCATCCAAGGCACGGAATTGACAGATACCCGAGATGCCTCCACCATCCCTTCCCCAACCCAAGAACTTCCCCGGTGGAATATCTGCCTGCCACGCAACCTGCAGGGAGAAGCCTCTCCTCCCGCACCCGCAGCCCTTCCCACGTGCCTGTTTCCCTTCCAGGCGTGGAAAAGCCTTTCCAACCGGTGCAACCTCCGCGTGGGAAAATTCAAAGGCCACTTTCCCACGGGAACCGGAACCGGAAGCAGCGGTTTTCCTTTTCTTTTTTTGTTTGTATTTGTTTCCCAGAGCGTTCTCTTCCCGCCTGCGGAAGTCTTCCTGCCCCTCCAGGAATTCAAACTCTCTCATCTTAACGGTTAAATATTCGCCTCCATTGCTCTCTCTCATCTTAACTTTGCGGGAGAAACAGCCGTCGGGAACCGCACGCTGAGTTCGCACAACATGCTAAGCAAAAATATAGTTGGCTAGTTTGTGGCAGCTGTCAGGATCTACGCAAACCAGAACCTTCAATTGTTTATATTTTGCTTTTT